TTAATATCAAAATTAATTAGCTCCAAATATTGCAATTTTTCTAATTGAAGCTTTGAAAATTCATTTTCCAATTCATCTCCAACGTTAATATTGCCAAAACTTAATTTTAAATGAATGATATTTTTTAAAAGACTTATAATAGATATTACGCTTGCTATATCAACTTGTCCAGTATAAGTGCTTAAGGATAAGTGAGTAATGTTTTGACAATAATTCACCAATGTTTCAAGTCCCTCGCTAATATCTTCTGATCTAAATTTAATCAAAACTTGTTCTAACACTTCACACGCTTTAATGATGATAGCTTTTATAACATCTTTTGGTAAATCACTAAGATACAAAAACCTTAGTCTAATGGAAGCTTTAAGAATAGATTGAATTAATTCAAGTGATAATATACGACATTTTCTAAAGACTAAAGATTCTAATCTGATATTTTGTAAAAGAAAGACCAAGGAAAACCCAGAAATGCCCAAATCATCCAACACCAAACTCATCAATTTATAAACAGATAAAAAATCATCAATTGGACTATTTGTTCTTGAATCAACTGTTGACATCGTTCTTGATTGAACAGTTGTATTTAAAGGAATATATTCTTGAAAATTAGCTTCTGGCTCTAGGATTGATATTAATCTTGAGTTTTGTTCTGTTTTTAAAGGCCTTATTGTAAAATTTCTTATCATTGCTATCATTAAAATCAGTATTATTATTTTTATAATTAACACCATCATCTTTTAAGAGTTCAGCAATAGTTTGTAGTAATAAAAGATCAACTTTTTGTCTTCTCTTATAACTTCTTTTACTTTTACTTTGCTGATTATCAATACTATTATTATTTAAAGATAAAGGAGGTAAAGAATCAACTATTTCTTGTTGCTTTTTCTTGCAACCTCGCTTGACACCTGTATTTTTATTCTGTACAGTAGTAATATCATTATTTAAAAGGTTATTAAGATTGTCTTGAATATCTTCTTCCTTTTGAGTAATTACTTCCTTTTGTTTCTTATTATTATATGTAGTTAATTTTTTATTTGTATTATTTTTTGTATTTCTTGTACTCATTATTATTTTTTGATAAAAATAAAAAGAAAAAATTAAAAAAAAATAATTAAATAATTATCGTTATTATTATTATACTTTTAAACTTTAGTTTAATTATTACTAAATTTGATTAATAATAGCCAACTGCAGGAAACTTTAATATGTGATAAAAAAGAACTTACCTATTATATAAAAAAATAAAAAATAAATATGAAACTAATTATTACTAAATCTGATTAATAATAGCCAACCATAGAAATCTTTAACTTGTGATAATAAAAAATAAAAATAAAAATAAATACAAATCTATAAATAAATTATAATATTAGATTATTCAAATAAATTTTTTAATTATTTGCTTATATTAAAAAATTCTATAAACAAATTTATTTATAAATGATTACTAAAATTAGTTTAGCACTTTATATAATTTAATATAAATTGTTAAAGTTGGCTAGAAATTATTATTTGAAATCAAATTTTATATAATAATATAAAAAAGGTTATTAATTTTTATAATTTAAGTGTATAAATAAAATATAAATAAATTTTATTTTTTTCTCATGATTTGCAACTTTTATTTCTTAAAAAAATTTTATTTTTTTTTTATGATTTGTAACCTTTATTTCTTAAAAAATTATTTCTTAAAAAAAATGTTTTACAACCGTTATGCCTCTTATAATTATCAACAAAATTATATAAGATATCCATGTAATAAATTATTAAATATTAAAGATAATGAAAGGAATCTTGAAATTAATATTACATTATATAATGAATTATAATGATAACTATTAATATATTTAATAATAAATTTATTAAATAGATTGTAATAATAAAGAAACTGAAATATAAGATAAAAAAGCAAATAATTATGAAATGGATTATAAAATGCCAATTGATATAGATACCGATAATGAAGATTCAAATGAAGACTTTTTAAATTATAATAAAGAATTATTTGATTTTGAAGATGAAATATCAATTGAAGAATCTAGTGAAAAAGTGTCAAATAATACTTTTGATGAAGTTGTTGATGAAGGCTTAAATAATAAGCAAATATCGTTTATTAATAAAGATTTTGCTCCATATTTTGAAAACATTACTAAAGCATTGATATTTTGCTAGATTCAAAAGTATAATATAAGTAAGGATTTATTATTAAAAATTATTATAGATAAAATACTAAAATTTTTTATATTTACTTAATAGCTACTCAAGCTTATGATGAATTGGTGAATATAATTTATCATCCACAATTTGAAAGTAATAATGTTGTATTAAATATTCGTAGATTTAAAAAGTATCGACAAAGATTACCCTTACTTTCTATTAGATCACGCAAAGTACATATTTCAAGTAAAAAAACCCTATCAACTTCTAAAGAAACAAAGGATATATATTATTTATTTATTACAAATATTATTTGGCATTCTCTTAATAATCCTTTACCATTTAACCAAATGTATTTTGGTCCTGGTCAAATAGTTGAAAAAAATCTAGAACTTTGGCATGAAAATTTATGGAAGGAATCACTGTGATTTAGATGTGCATTTATTCAAATTAATGGAGATATATTATAATTATTAAAAAATTATTATAAAGATATTTACTGTATATAAACAATATTTATTAAAACATTTTATTTTATTATTAAAAATATTATTATTTAATTTTAGCAATATATAAATGTGGAGATTTTATAGTTTATAAAGAAATAATAACAAGGATTGGTAGAATTTTAGCAATAGTAGAAATACATGATGAACTCAAAATAATAATCCAACAAATTTTAAGTTTTGATGAATTACCAAATAATTTATAAAGTAATAATTGCAGAAGAAGATCACACATTGAATTATGATTATTAGATCAAGAGATAGAATTACAAGATATTATTAAACATGTCACAGTTGTTATGCTTTATAATGAAGATATTATTAATGAAACTTCTTCAATTATTATTCAAGAAATTCTTTATAAACATCAAAATCATTGGAAGTTAAGAAGTATTGCATATTCTTATCAGTATCCTTCAGAATTTGCTCCATTAGAAGAATCAATAACACATTTTCCAATATATAAGTTATATATTGATATGTATTATGATGACTTTGGAACATTTCGTAATGTTTATCATTCACTAGGTAGTGTTTATATTCAAATTGGAAACATGCCTTTTAAAGAAAGAAAAAAACTCAAAAATTATTTTGTGCTTAGTTTTGTTCCATTTAGTGGCTGTTTTGAAGAATTTATTGAACCTTTTATTTTAGAGATGAAAATATTAGAGAAGGGAAAAATTATGAATATTCAAGAAATCAAATGTTTTATTATTGCAAGTCTTGGTGATATTACTGCAGATTTACCACAAGGCAATGATTTAGTTGGAGTAAAACGACATAATGCAAATAAAGGATGTCATACATGTCATACAACTAAAGATTTATTGACATCAAATAATTAAGATTTGCCATTAGTTTCTCGATATTATCACTAAACAAATGAACAATTTAAAGAAATATTCGCAGTATCAACAATAACAGAATGTAAAGAACTTGCTACACAATATGGATTACATTTACAACCTACAATATTAGACCAGTTACAATGGGAAAGACACCTCAAGACATTTATCATGTTACAGCTGGCAAGGTATTAAGGTTTTTTAAGATAACGATTGAAGCACTTTCGCCAGAAGGAAAAACAGAATTCATAGTATTTTGGAATATCCAAGAATGTGGCAAAAGCTGCCAAATCCAATATCTCACATTGACAGCTTTATGATGTCAGATTGTTTACG